TTTGGATTTCTTCAGTGTCTGTTATGTTTCTCTTTTTATTTCTGATTTTGTTAACTAAGATAGTGTTTTGTGCCTTTTAGTTAGTTTGCATAAGTTTGCTTATGTTGTTGATTTTTTTCAAAGACTACAGCTGATAAACACTTTCAACAAAGTGGCTGGATACAAAGTTAAGTAAAAAACAAACAAACAAAAACAAAGCCCCCCCCCAAAAAAAACCAATAGCCCGCCTGTATATAAGAGATAAATGCGTTGAGAAAGAAATTAGGGAAACAACACCCTTCACTATAGACACAAGACACATACAATATCTTTGAGTAACTGTATCCAAGCAAGTGAAAGACTTGTATGAAAAAACACCTCAAGTCTCTGAAGAAAGAAATTGAATAAGATAGAAGAAGATGGAAAATTCTCCCATGCTCATGGATCACCCGGTTTAACATAGTAAACATGACCATCATACTAAAAACAATCTACCTAGCCATTGAAATTCCCATCAAAATCCCAATAAAATTCCTTACAGAACTTGAAAGAACAATTCTCAACTTTGTATGTAATAACAGAAAACTCAGAATAGCTAAAGTAATCCTGTACAATAAAAGATCATTAGGAGTAATCTCCATCCCTGATCTCAAGATGAAACTTAGAGCAACAGTAAAAAAAAAACCAAAAAAAAAAAAAAACCCACAAACAAACAAACAAAACTCTAAATCTATTATAAAAAAACGTGAGATACAACTTTGAACTCATTAGTTCAGGATAAAATATCCTGAACAGAACACCAGTAGCTCAGGTTCTAAGATCAACAATTATAAATGGGAACTAATGAAAATGAAAGTTTCTGTAAAGCAAGGACTCTGTCAATAGAACAAAATGACAGCCTATAGCCTACATCCGACAGATGGCTATTATCCAAAACATATAAAGAACTTAAGAAATTTGAACCATAAAATTCCATTCACTCTGCCTGACAGTTGGCTTAGCATCTGCTTTGAGACAATGCAGCTACTTTTGACGAGAACTGATAGACTAAGATCAGAAAGGAGAGGAGAACCTCCCCTATCAGTGGACTTGGGGAGGGGCATGCATGCAGAAACGGGAGGGAGGGTGGGATTGGCAAGGGAGGAGGGAGGAGCTTATGGGGAGATACGAAATGAATAAAGTGTAATTAATAAAAAATAAAAAAAGGAAAAAAATAAATTTGAACCAGCAAATCAATAATTTAGTTAAAAAAATGGGTCACAGAGATAAACAGGGAAATCTCAACAGAAGAATAGTGAATAGAATGGAAGCACTTTTTAAAAAGCTCAGTGTCCTTAGTCATTAGGTAAATGCAAATAAAAATTATTCTGAGCCCGGATATATTTGGTACTTGTAGAGCTCCTATCTTTTCCATATCATACTAACTCCCCTTCTTTCATATGATTCCCTGCACTCTGTCAAGGTTTGGTTATGAGTCTTAGTGTCTGCTTTGAAACACTGCTAGGTAGAGTCTTTCAGATGCCTTTTGCGGTAGACTCCTGTCATACATTCAATGCACATCCCATTTGTCTTTCTAAATGAGGATTGATCATCTTCACCCATGTCCACTTTTTTGATTATCTTCTTTAGGTGTGTAGATTTCATTATGTTTATCATATCTTTTAGGTCTATATAAGCGAGTATATATCCAGGCACAGGGTCTTTTCTGAGACTGACACTCAACCAAGGACCATCTATGGATATAACATAGAACTTCAGCTTGGAGGTGGCCCATGGAAGCTCAGTAACCAAGTAGTTTTCCAAAGTAAGGGGAACAAGGACTATTTCTAACAGGATCTCAAGGGCAGGCTCTTTGACCTCCCCCCCCCCCCGCCAGGGGAGGAGCAGTCTTGTTAGGCCACAGAGGAGGACTTTGCAGCCAGCCTTGAAGATACGTGATAAAACAGGGTCAAATGAAAGGGGAGTAGGTCCTCCCCTTTCATTGGACTTGGAAAGGGGCAGGGAGGAGCCCAGGGAGGGAGTTGGGGAGAGGGAGAGAATGAGGGAGCGGGATACAGCTGGGACACAGAGTTAACAAATTGTAACTAAAAAGAAAAATAAAAATTAAAAAAAAATTATTCTGAGAGTCCATCTAATAACATCAACAATGTCTAAGATAGAAAAATGAAGTGACCGCACATGCTGGTAAAAATGTGGAGCAAGGGGAACACTCCTCCACTGCTGGTGGGAGTACAAATTTGGGCAACCACTTTGGAAATCAATCTTCTGCTTTCTCAGAAAATTGGGAAGAGCTCTACCTAAAGGTCCAACTTGAGCATATACCCAAAAGACACTGCACCATTCAAAAAGAATATTTACACAACTATGTTCATAGTAGCTTTATTCTTAATAGCCAGGAACTGGAAACAACCCAGATGTCTCTCATTCAATAAAAGGATAAAGAAAATGTGTTACATAGACACAATGAAAAAAAAAATTCAGCTCTTAAAAAACAAGAACATCAAGAAATTTGCAGACAAATGGATGGAACTAGAAAAGATCATCCAGAGTAAGGTAATCCTACCCACAAAAACATACATGGTATAGAGTCCCTCATAAGCATATGTTAGCCATACATTACAGGGTAACCATACTGTAATCCATAGACTTATAGAAGCTAAGTAACAAGGAATATCTTGGGAAGTATGTTTAACCTCATTCAGATGGGCAAATAGAATAGACACTGGAAGCAGTTAAAGAGAAGGAACAGGAATGGTGGCTACCATAGATGTCTTCTGAAAGTCTGCATCCTGCGGGGATTGAAGCAGATGATGGGTCTCACAGTCAAACTATGGGCAGAGGGCAGTAGGTCATATGAAACAGTATGGGAATAAAAGACCTGAAGGAAACAGTTGTTTCACATGAAGACCAACAAAGACAACAAATCTGGGGCCAGGGTCCCTGTGGAGACTGATGCACCAAAAAGGTCCATAAATCGAGAGGATCAACACCCAGCTCAGATGTAGCCAATATGATTGAGCTCAGGGTATGTCTCTTGAATGAACGCTGTTACATGCTCCTGGATCAATTTTCCAGGAGGGGCCTCATTTCCAGGCCACAGAGGAAGAGGATGTGGGTAGTCATGAAGATTCATGATAGTCTGTTCACAGTTGGTTAGGGAGGAGGGGTCCAGATTTCTGAAGCCTAGGAGGGGGATATGGAGGAAGAGAAAAGAAGGGTGGGATTGAGAGGAGAAGATGGAGAGGGTTATGAGCAGGCCATAAAGTGATTAAAATAAAAAATATTTGATAAGCCTTTATGCTTCTTCATAGTCTAGTAATCCATGTTAAAATTTTATTTGTATTTTTATAGATTCTTAATATCAATAACATTTTGCATTATGTCAAAGGTGTCCAACTCTTCTAATTGTTCCATGAAATTGAACTATGCTCTAAATGGCTTAATTGTCTGGTAACTCATTTTGAAAAGCAATAAACACAGTAGTGAACACAAAATTATACAAAGGTCTCATTAGTCATGAAAAGAGAAAGGCCAGATATTTGTAAGTTAATTGAAATCCCAGTGTCAAAGATCAGTTTCTTCTCTAGAAATATTTCATAGGAACCACATAATACCAACAATTTATACATGCTGCGACCATTGTTCATAACTGGGAAGCAGAACTAAATGGTAATACTAATTGTGGAAGATGCTGAAAACTTAGAACAAGCAACATGAAAATTTTGGGCTTCTAATGTTTTAGAGTCTACTACAACATGAAAAGTGTTTCATGATTCCATCAGGCAATACATAAAATATTTTAGGTTAATTGCATACAATAATTACATTTTCAATGATATGATAAGGCCATCAGCATGCCTGGCAAAGTGTGGCAAGTGGTGAAATTCATGGAACAGCAGTTACCATTGCCACCAACAATCATCCCATTTTCTTTCAGTCTCAAGATACAATCAATGTGCTATATAACATGTGAAAATAAAGTGTCTAATGCAGCCACTCCTGATGAGACCTAATTGACTAGGATCAGAAGGAAGGAAGAGAAGACCTCCCTTATCAGTGGGCTTGGAGGGGGGCATGCATGCAGAGGATGGATGAAGGGAGGGATTGGGACAGGGGGAGGAAGGAAACCATAGGGGTGATACAAAGAGAATAAAGTGTAATTAATAAACAAACAAACAAACAAACAAAGGAGGATATTACCACAGAGTGAAGGGCTGGAAATAGGTTTTCAAGGAAATGGACACAAGAAGCAAGTTGAAAGAAGCCATCCTAATAATTAATAGAATAATCTTTTAACTGAAAAAAAAATAAAGTTGTATCAATAGTATTTAAAAATCTAAAAAAAAAAAAGAAAGTAAGGCATCTACAAATATTATGACCTTCATCTAAAAGTAGGCTTTTGATAAATGCACATGAGCTGTGCTTGTCAAAGTGCCTTATAAACGTGTGTTTAGCCCTGTTGATTACTACAACTATTCCCCCTATTCTAATGGCTAAAATATTGTAAGGTGCTGATGTTTATTGAAAGAGATTTGGCTTTACTAAAAAAGGTCTATTGTAAAGATAGAGAGGGCCACTGCTCATATTGTTATTGAATACATTTTCTATAACCAGAATATACAAGAGACTATTGCAGAAGATAACACAGAGCTATGGTATTGAAATAAGGTTAAGTATTGGGAATGAGTTGTTTTCCTCCTGCTGACCTGAAAATGAGTAATCAATGAAGAAAGATGGCCTTGCTGATTTGGAGAATGGCTTAAATTCTATAGATTATATAGAGGAAATGCAGTGTGACACATATTGAGACATAACTATGGCAAATGTAAAGATGATATTAATAAATCCTGAGGGAAGAATGTCACTGATCAATAGACATTGATTCTATCTGCCCCCCAGCTCTGCTTAGCCTTGGGTGTATATAGGTAGTATATATAGGAGGAGGAAAGCTGAATGAACACAGCACTCAAGTGAGCAGCTTTCTTGTGGTGGAGCAGACACTGTGGTGGATCTTCTCAGAGATGCGGGTGACATTGACTCTTCCAGGCTCTGGTAAGTTGCCATTCATTCATGTACCTGTAAGTAAACCTTACTCCTGCATACATGTTCAAAATGTGTTTGGATTGTATATTTTCTCTGGTGTCATCTATTCTGCATCCTTGAAGAACTGATATTTAATCATGTTCCCTCTATAGAAGAGGTAACACATATTAGAAAGAACTTTCCAAAGGATTTCTCTCCTTGTGCTGTAGACACATGACACTTCTCAGAGTTAATTTACAGAGTCTTGATCAACAGGAGAGGAATAAGTTGATAGTGATCTTGGTATCTATGCACCACTTCTTTGACACTATAAACTTGAAAGCTCATCTTCCAGAAAAAAAAAGAAAGAAGAAAAATTATAAGGGCCAATTTACATTATTGAGAAACTAGGCATTAGTGAGAACATAAAGATTAAATGAATGGTCCAATTGCTCCAAGCACAGAAATGGGAAGCTATGGTTAATTTGCGTGTCAAGGTCAAATATCTGCTCGCCTAAATCAACATGAATAAACTATCAAGTAGTCTAAGTCTTATGTGATATATACAAGAAAAATCAATTAGTTACAATAATAATATACTTAATAAAATGAAAGATAAGTATAAATTATTGAGAACTTCAAATAGATGCAGATAATGACTTGAAGTCTCTGGCTCATGATTACTTAAAGCTCCATGTGATCACAAACTGGAGAAGCTGTTTTGGAACTAACGCAAACTGTGACAAGACTCTTGCATTTCAAGTTCTATACTAAATAACTGTAACCATTTCTCTGTACTTTCCCAGTAATACAAAATAAATGATATATTAAGTGATATCACATTCAATCGCATGGTGGAATACCCTTAGAGCAGACAGCATTCCAAGATAGTTCAACTGTTGTAACTTTGTGTGACTAGATCATCTGAGTTTGTTTCTCTGACAGCAGGGATGTACCTGTTGCTACTGGTGTCAATTGTGCTCCTTTGGGAGAATGTAGCCTCCAACCCAACTGGCCTTGTTTCCATTGAAGACCTGTATCACCGTGTGGTTGAACAGTCCCATAACACATATATCGTGGCTGCAGATATATACCGTGAATTTGTAAGTAATGACCTTCTAGATACTTACCTGAATGGGCCTTCAGATAGCTAAACAGTAATTAAATTAGAATGTATTGTGTATTCAAGACTAAATAATTCACTTTATAGGTAACAGTTAGAATCATACAAAAATGTGGAATGGGAAAATTTTGAATTTCTATAAAAATCTCAAAAATTGTAAAGAAGTAAATGATATTTTCAGGGTTTCCATAATAACTAAGGGTAACCACTTCTTTTCGACTTTGTCACTGGAAAGTTTATTTCCTGGTCATGGGTTCTGTCTTCACAGGCATTCCTTACCTGTTGATCAAAAAATAAGCAATGCAGTGGCATTAAATTTAAGTTAGTTATGTCGACCAATAAAAAGAAAATTAAAACCATGTTAACAGCAAAACCAAAAACAAAAATAAAACAAAACAAAAAAAAAAACCAACAAAACAAAAAGAAACAGTGTCTTATAAGATCACAACTCCTATGAGTTTTGTTTTATCAGTTTTAAGAAAGAGGGTGTTAGTGCAATTCAAGGGCTAATTTAGACACAAAATATATTCCCTTTTCTTCAAGGCTATAACTAACCTGCTCGGGATCTGACAGTGAGGAAACAACGAAGAGAAATTCCACTGAACGTTGTATATATAGATTATATGTCTCTGTATTTACAGAGAATATATATTCCCATTGTTATTTTTGTTCACTATTCTTTCTTATATTCCTTATTTTTTTCTCCTTTCAGGAGCACAACGTATCTAAACATCCTTTAACTGTCATAAACACTCTGAAAGTTAGAATTATGTAATTTGTATTTTCATAATAAATACCTAATGCGAGTAAAGTCTTCATATCACTAATATAGAAACAGTAAATAGTTTTGTGAATTCTTGTTCCACTCATTGCTGAACATTTCCTAGTAGTAACATGCCTTGTAGTAAATGAATAGGAGGTTTGGGGAGACACTATTATGGACTGCAGATGTAAAGGAAAGAAAGGGTTAGCTGCACATGTTTCCATCATTTATTGTTTCAAATTTTCTGTAGCCTTTAATTATTGAACAGTAAGGGTTTATCAAATGCAATCATCTTATACTTGTGCATTTTTCTATTCAGTTCTGCAAGCCCAAATGAATTAAAACTTTTCCTTTCCTCCAGGACTTGAACTTTGCCAAGAGGAGTTGGTTAAGAGACAGGATCCCTCCCATGTGCCACACTTCTTCCATCCATACTCCAGAGGACCGAAAGCAAGTCCACGAAACAACAGTAGGTTTCTTCCCTATGGGTTACCAAGCAAGTGATGCTATACATGGGCTAGCGGGGCTGTATGTGATTACTAGGCCCATAAGAGGTGTCGTAATTTCAGATTCAAAGAACTTGCAGCCTGTTGGAGAACAATCATACAGTTGATAACTTTAGCGCTAAGTCAAATGCCTGCCAATTCACATTTGCCCTTGGGTGTAATTGTCCATATAGAAGACGATTTTCCCCAACACCTTCTACTTAGCCCTGGGAACTTTTGATTTCAACTGGGAAGTCAGTGCTGAATATATTCATATACATATAGAGTAAATACACATCCAGTTGTGTTTGTAGAATAATATTAAATGATCTTCCCCTGGCAGTATTTTACTAAACTGAGCAGGGTGTTATTACTTCTTAAGTTTCTGAAATCTTTGGGACCTACTTCTGGTCCTTCATTATTTTTAAAGTCTTCTATGCCTCTTCTGCCTTCTATATCTTAAAATAAATACAGCATTACCAGAGGCTCCTCTGTAGACTACATCATGTTGGTCAGGATGACTTTGGTTTTGATGAGGTTATCATGACTCTGAACAATATCTAATGTATATCCAATGTCATGAAATCTTCCCTTTGACTACCTGTCATGAACATCCAGTGCCCCTAGCCAAATGTTGGCCATCAGCATGGGCCTCTTCATTTCATTAATTAATTTAACATTTTTTGAATTTTTGATTAGATTTAGCTTTAGTCTTTGTTTTCATAGATTCCTCCAGACGTCAGAGTAAACATCTAAATAAAAATTGTATTTGATGTGACTCTGGCATTAGGCTAACCCTTATTAGGTCAAAATTGCATTCTCATTTCTACTGATAACTGAAATTAAAATTATGCTCGGTAGGAGTTTTCTTCTGCACACTTTAATAAATACACAGTATCTCTAAAGCCAAAGGGTGGGAAGCATGCAGATGGTTGAAAAGTAAAATTTGGAAAACATTTTTCTGCATTACACCTGTTTTTTTATACTATCACAACATAAATGTCTCAAGTAAGTATATGAAAAACCAATTTGATTCAGTAGTGTAGAAATTATTTGAAACATTTGCTCCTGGCAGCGTTGGCTTTAAATTTATGAAAGTCAAGTCTTTTGACACCTAACAAGCCTATTAAACCTTGTTTTCTCATAGACAGGAAAAGTAATAAAAAAGAACAGGTTTACTTAGGACAAATGGTAGGATGTGGAGAAATAAAAAAAAATACCATTTTGCAAGAATTAGTAAGATATTATTAGTTTTGCTTGGCAAAGTGAAATGGAGGAGGTGAATCTTTACCATTATACAATGATTATACAACATGAAATGATTAATATTTATCATGAATAATGAAAAGATACTGTAGTTTGACTCCTTCATGAAAAAAAAAACACAGGTGTCTGGCTATACAGCTTTAAGTCACTTAGTGTAAGACAATGTCCAATGATGTTTTCCTAGACTGTAGACCTTCTGAAAGCAATCCTGAATGTTACATATGCCTGGGAAGAACCAGTGAAACACCTGCTGCCTGCAGTGACGGCTCTTCCAGGAGTTTCTGAAAATATGGTGAAAAGAGCCGTCGATGTGAAGGGCAAAATTCATATTCTTGCAGAGGGAATTGAGACCATACTCAACAGGGTAAGCTGTCTCTACAAATGTCTTGGCTAATCTTATGCATGCAATTGGTCAATGTGAAATAAAATAAGAATGCTGAGACACCGAAATCCAGGATTATTTAGTGAGAAACCCACAGAACAATGATCTCCATAGAGAATAACTTTTCCTCGTAGTAACTTGGACTGTAGCTTTCCCGGATGGGATGAAAATCTTGACTAATTCAGAATATTTTATGGTAAATATGGTTTTATAAACCAATTTTTAAAAACAACCAGTGCTAGGATTGCCTGTACCTTAATATGTTAGGTGAAATATACTTCCCTTATGAAAGGATTCATTAAATTTATAAGATAGAGAACAGATTTATCTGAAAAGAAGAAAAGGATCAGGACTTTCTACCAGATCTAATGTGGTATGAAGGACATATCAGGGGAAGAGATGAAAATATGTAAACCTCCCCAAGGTGAAAGACTCCTTGTAGCCTTTTATTGTCCCTAATTAATTAGTATATACACCCAAATAGCACCTTGCTTATGTAACATCTGTCTACTTGTGAGGATACACCATCTGAATTCAGTGGCATATCAGAAAATATGTATGCCTGCCTACAAATATATATTTGTATGGCTAAGGTCTAAACAGGAAATTTCAGAGTTCCTTGCTATTTTTTTTTCTAAATTTATAAAACATTTACAAGGAATATGCTCTCACAGCTGTCTCATGTGTGTAAGTGCCTTTTGGGCATGTTTGCAGACCTGAGTTCATTTCCAGAACCTGTGCCAAAAGAATGACGTGGTGCTTTCGTCTTGAAACCTTAAAACTAGGGAATCAGACTTAAGGATATCTGCAATTATTTCCAGAATATAGTAAGAGCATCTCTCTCAAAAGTCATGATAAAAGTCACCGGTGGAACTTTAACCCAACGTGAATACTGACATCTAAATCATGTCTATTTAAAACTACATAAAAATTAAACTAAGTACACACACACATAAACACAAAGAGAGAGAGAGAAAAAGACAGACAGACAGACACACACACACAGATGCAGAAAGGAGAAGGAATCTGTACTGGACCTATGGAGATGTCTCATGTGTAAGTGCCTCTCTTGCATGTGTGAGGAACCCAAGTCCAGTTTCAAACTTTCTATCAAAAATGATTTGGTTATATCTCTTTGTAACGCTAGCAGTAGAAAAGCAAACAAGAAGATCTACCATGAGTTCCAGGTAGAAGTAAGAAAAACTATATCAAGAAAATCAAGGGAGAAGTCATTGGAGGGACTTTATCCAAAGTTGGCTTCTGACACCAATAATCATGTCATAAATACACACACATATACATCCATGTACTTATACAAACTTACAAACCTGCGCTGATACAGAAAGTGTTCAGGAAATCCTGCTGGTAATAATGCCAATGCTATCTGTCTATTTGATGTTTAGACTGAGACTGAGCCTGGATTTGATGGAAATGACTACCCTGCCTGGACTGGACTGGAAGACCTGAAATCATCTGATGAAGACACTCGCCTTTTCACCATTTATAACCTGTGCCGCTGCCTGAGGAGGGATACACACAAGGTGGACAGTTACCTCAAGGTCTTGAGGTGCAGAGTTGTCTTTAAGAATGAATGCTTCTAGCTCAGCACTTTTAGGTGTGCAGATTTTTGGAGGTTTATCCTATTTTATATATCTAGTACTCACTTATAAGTGAGTATATACCATGTGTGTCTTTCTGCTTCTGGGATACCTCACTCAGGATGATCTTTTCTACTCCCACCATTTGCCTGGAAATTTCATGATTTCCTTGCTTTTAATTGCTGAGTCCTCTTTCATTGTGCAAATGTACCACAATTTCTGTATTGATTCCTCTGTTGAGGAACTCCTGGGTTGTTTCCAGGTTCTGGCTATTACCAATAAATCTGCTATGAACCTGATTGAACAAATGTCCTTGTTGTTTACTTGAGCATCTTTTGGATATATGCTTAGGAGTGGTATAGGTGGATCTTGAGGAAGCACTGTTCCTAATTGTCTGAGAAAGAGCCAGATTGATTTCACAGTGTTTTTACAAATTTACATTCCTACCAGCAATTTAGGAGGGTTCCCATTACCCCTCATCCTCTCCAGTATTTATTGCCATCTATATTCTTCTATAGAGAATTATCTGTTTAGCTTTGTACCCATTAACCCTGGGTAAGATGATCATTCCTCACTCAGAAAAGCAAACAGCACAGACATTGAAAGAAGGAGAAAACAGAAAACAGGACAAGAGCCTATCACAGAGGGCCTCTGAAATACTCTACTGAGCATTCTATCAATGCATATACTAAGGCTCATGAATAAACTTTGGGCAGAGTGCAGAGAATCTTAGGAAAGAAGGGGAAGATAGGAAGACCTGGAGAGGACAGTAGCTCCACAATGATAGCCACAGAACCACAATATCTGGAAAGAGGGATCTTTTCAGAGACTGATACTGCAACCAATTACCATTCATGGAGATAACCTTGAACCCCTGTTCAGATGTAGCCCATGACAGCTCAGTATCGTACTGGGTTTCCTAGTAAGGGTGGAGATGAGGGAGGGAGGGTGAGATTGGGAGGGAATGAGGGAGCGGGATACACCTGGGATACAGAGTTAATGAAATGTAACTGATAAGAAAAAAATAAAATTTCTGTATTGATTCCTCTGTTGAGGGACATCTGGGTTCTTTCCAGGTTCTGGCTATCATGAATAAAGTTGCTACAAACATGGTTGAGCAAATGTCCTTGATGTGTACTTGAGCATCTTTTGGATATATGCCTAGGAGTGCTATAGCCGAATCTTGAGGAAGCGCTATTCCTAATTGTCAACTGTTCAACTCCAACATGAAGCAGCAACATGACTCTATCACATGGACACATTTCTGGATTATCTACCATTGTTCTTTTCTGCCTGCTTTTATATATTCATAGTTGATCAGAAATTCAATTTCCTATCTAGACATTAACCAGTAGAAGATGGAATTCCGTGTTTGTTCCTCCTTTTGAAACCAAGAGCAATTTCTCTTTTGATCAACACTAGAGAGTGATAGTGTTGATAGTGATACCATTACATTGTATGGTAACAGTAAGACTAAAATAAGATGAGTAACCTATTGATGCTGCCTAGAGAGTATCATTTGCTGAGTAGAGTTCAGCTCATAGAGTCTCTATCTCTTTCTCACTCTCAAAAAAAAAAAAAAACTATTTCTGGAACTGAAGTTATTGTCTATTATTCTCAGATAACCGAGGATTGTCCAGGCCATTCTTTTTTAAAATTGAATATATTTAAGGTAGTTAAGGCAATATATAATAAAAGATGAATGAATTAACATGCTCAGTACTGAAACAAAATTTGAATGTGCAATAAAAATTAGAATCAGGTGGAATTGAAAGTGTAAGAGAAAAATTATTTCTGAGATATCACTATGGAAATGGTGACATGATTTTTTAGTGCCTGAATTGACCTTCTGTTTGTGCGTATGTGCGTTCGATGTGTTTTTGTCTGTGCATGTCGCATGTATATGCATATGTACATGGTTGCTCATTCACTTGGAGACATACTTTGATATCAGATGTCTTCCACAATTGTATCCTATCTTTCTCTTTCTTTCTTGAACCTGAAACAGAGGTCATTGATGTGACTTGACTGGTTGGATATTGAGTTCTAGGCTTTGACTGAATCTTTTCTCTGCTAGACCTCTGTTATCTCTACCAGCTATGTATTTTGGTCTGAGCATCCAGACTTCAATTCTCATAATGAGAGAAAAATTCTCTACTGAGAGATTTCCCCAGGTCCAAATTCCTTGAGTATTAAACAACATTCTTGTCATGTTCATTCCTTACCTCCCTTTTTTTTCCTAATAACTCTCATTCATATTGAAGTTGTTTGGACTTATCTACTAAGTGTATATAGTAGAATTTTCACCTCCTGTATCATAGAATTCAAGAGTATTTTAACACAATAAAAACAAAAACAAAGCAAAATCCTTTCTCACATTTTTGGCACAATGTGGAAGGCCAGAGAATGTGATGGCATGTCACTCAATGATGACATTCTAATTAAAGTCTGACTTTTGCAGGTAAGATAAGAGGAAGTGTAAGTGATAAAGAGGGTTATCAAATGGGAAGTAGAAAAGATATAGAGAAGAATTAGCAGTTACTCACTTTTACCGCAGAGTGTCTCTGCATTCTATTGCTTCTAGGGTTTCAACTTACGGAATTACATTTGAGAAAAAAAAAAAAAAAAGGTTCTGGTTTAGAAAGAAGAACAGCACCCATGCTAAAAGCAAACATACAAATAGCAGAAAAATATTGATCTCATAGTTCAACAAATCACATCATGGACACTAACGGTATAGCTTAAGAAGAAAAAAATATTTTTTTCATGAGTTTTTTACTGAAATTGTGATGGTTACAGAAAACAACAACAAAAAAATCATACTAAGATTATTATAAATTATTATAATAGATAATATCCCCAAATCAACATGAATCAAAAATTCATGATTAAACCAGAAGAGAATAGAAAGCTGAGTTTCTTTTTTTATTTCCTTTTTTTAAATATTAGTTACAGTTTATTAACTTTGTATCCCAGCTGTGTCCTGTTCCTTCATTCCCTCTCAATCACATCCTCCCTCCCTTATCTCCTCCTTGTCCCTTTCCAAGTCCACTGATAGGGAAGGACCTCCTTCCCTTTTGTCTGACCCTGGTGTATCAGGTATCTTCATGACTGGCTGCAAAGTCCTCCTCTGTGGCCTAGCAGGCCTGCTCCTCCCTTGGAGGGGGGTGGAGCAAAGAGCCACTTAAAGAGATGCTCAACATCCTTAGCCATCAGAGAGATACAAATCCAAACGACCCTGAGATTTCACCTTAAACCTATCAGAATGGCTAAAATAAAAAACTCAAGTGACAAGACATACTGGAGAGGTTGTGGAGAAAGGGGAACAGTCCACAATTGCTGGTGGGAATGAAAATTTGTACAAACACCTTGGAAACCAATCTGATGATTTTCAGACAATTAGGAATAGTGATTCTTCAAGATCCAGCTATACCACTCCTAGGCATATATCCAAAAGATGCTCAAGCACACAACAAGGATCTTTGCTCGTCCATGTTTATAGCAGCTTTGTTTGTAATAGCCAGAACCTGAAAACAACCCAGATGTCCATCAACGGAGGAATGGATACATAAATTGTGGTACTTTTATACAATGGAATACTACTCAGCAATTGAAAGAGTTTCAAGATGCTAGTGGTTTAAAAACTGAAAGCATGACGAATACTCACAAATGGGAAGATATTCCATTTAACAATTCTTCTTTAACCTTGCATGGTGTAACTCAATTTTTATTTTGAACAAAACCTTGAGATATTCACATATATAGCACTTTTTAGCTTTTATTATTTTATATTTATTTTATGTTTTTCTTTTTATTCTTTTTTAATTAATTAATTTATATTTATAAACTACATTTTATTCACATTGTATCCCAGCTGTAGCCCCCTCCTTCACCACCTCACAATCTACTCTCCCTGCCTTATATCCTACCATACCCCTCTCCAAGGCTATTGTTAGAGGAGGTCCTCCTCCCCTTCTCTCTGACCCTAGCCTATCAGGTATCTTCAGGACTGGCTGCATTGTTTTCCTCTGTGGCCTAGTGAGGCTGCTCTCCAATCAGGGTAAGGTGATCAAAGAGTCAGCCTCTGAGTGCATGACAGAGACAGTCCCTGTTCTCCTTAATAGGGAACCCACTTGCACATTGAGCTGCTATGGGCTACATCTGTGCAGAGGTTCTAGGTTATCTCCAAGAATGGTCCTTGGTTGGAGTATCAGCCCCAGAAAACATCCCTTGGCCCAGAATTTTTGGTTCTTTTGCTCACCATGTGGAGCTCCTGTCCCCTCCAGGTTTTTCTAGCGTCCCCTTTTTTCCTAAGATTCCTTGCACTCTCCCCAAAGTTTGGCTATGATTTCTCAACATCTGCTTTGATAAACTGCTGGGTAGAGTCTTCCAGAGGCCCTCTGTGGTAGGCTCCTCTCCTGTTCCCTGTTTTCTCCCTCTTCCAATGTCAGCCCATTTGCCTTTTTGTGTGAGGATTGATCAGGTTACAGAGGGTCCTCCTTTCTGCTTACCTTCTTTATGTATACAGATTTTAGTATATTTATCCTATATTATATATCTACTATCCACTTTTAAGTGAGTATATACTGTACGTGTCTTTCTGCTTCTGGGAAACTTCACTCAGGATGATCCTTTCCAGTTCCCACTTCAAATTTCATGATTTTCATGGTTTTAATTGCTGTTGTGTTCCATTCTGTAACCACACCTTCATTCCTCAATTGACAAATTTTTTGGTTGTTTCCAGATTCTGGCTATTACAAATAAAGCTGCTACAAACATGGTTGAGCAAATGTCCTTGTTGTAGACTTGAGCATCTTTTGGATATATGCCAAGGAGTGGTATAGCTGGATATTGAGGTAGCACTATTCCTAATTGTCTGAGAAAGTGCCCGATTGATTTCCAAAGTGGTTGTACAAGTTTACATTCCCATCAGAAATGGAGGAGGGTTCTCCTTTCTCCACATTCTTTCCAGCGTATGCTCTCACTTGAGTTTTTTGATCATA